GTTAAAATCGTGGAAGTTTAGTTCATCTTCAGAAGAAAGCCAAGTTTCACAGAGTGCAAATATATCACAATCAGAATTGTGAATCAAATACTTGAACGAGTCTAATTTAGGTATTAAACTACGACAGTTCCATTGTAATAAAGGGTGATACGGTCAAAATTTGGTCAATATCAACTTGACGTATTTCTTTCAATTTTGCATTTAAAAAACCTGAACACCCCTCATTTTGAAGGTGTGTGTGTAGAATGTTGCTCCTATTTTGATTTTGGAATTCACTCTTCAGTTGTCAAAATGCCGTCCAAGCAAGAAGAGCAGCGTATCAAAATTTTGCTCGCGCATCGCGAAAATCCGAGCTACTCGCACGCAAAGTTGGCAAAATCGCTAAAAGTTGCCAAATCAACCGTTACAAATGTAATTAAAGTGTTTGGGGAACGTTTGTCGACAGCCAGGAAGTCTGGATCGGGGGGAAATCGAAATCCGGAAGCCGCTGAGACGACAAAGAGAGTTGCCGGTAGTTTCAAGCGAAACCCTAACCTCTCTCTCCGAGATGCCGCAAATAAGCTGGGTGTATCGTCTACAACCGTGCATCGAGCCAAAAAACGAGCCGGACTATCGACTTACAAGAAGGTAGTGACTCCAAATCGCGATGATAAACAAAATACGACGGCCAAAGCGCGATCCCGGAGGCTGTACACGACGATGCTGACGAAGTTTGACTGCGTGGTAATGGACGACGAAACCTACGTCAAAGCCGACTACAAGCAGCTTCCGGGACAGGAGTTTTATACGGCAAAAGGAAGGGGAAAGGTAGCAGATGTTTTCAAGCACATGAAACTGTCAAAGTTCGCAAAGAAATATCTGGTTTGGCAAGCCATCTGTACCTGTGGCTTGAAAAGCAGCATTTTCATAGCTTCCGGGACTGTCAACCAAGAAATTTACGTGAAAGAGTGTTTGAATAAACGTCTGCTGCCTTTCCTGAAGAAACACGGTTGTTCCGTACTGTTTTGGCCGGATTTGGCATCTTGCCATTACGGTAAAAAGGCCATGGAGTGGTACGCCGCCAACAACGTGCAGGTGGTTCCCAAGGACAAGAACCCTCCCAACACGCCAGAGCTCCGCCCAATTGAGAAATACTGGGCTATTGTCAAGCGGAACCTAAAGAAGACCAAAAAAACTGCTAAGGGCGAGCAGCAGTTCAAGGCAAACTGGCTTTCTGCGGCGAAGAAGGTGGACAAGGTGGCTGTACAAAATCTGATGGCAGGGGTCAAGCGTAAGGCCCGGCAATTCGGATTTGGAAAAGCGGAAGCCTAACTGAATATTTTTCCTGAATTTTATACTAATTGAACTTGAAAAAGAAATTTAATTTGATTTTTTAAATAAACGATTTCACCGATTTACACGCGTTTTCCCTTAACCAAATTTTGACCGTATCACCCTTTAAAGTGATCATATCTTGATCCTCACTCGACGAATTATCCATCGAAAGATATGAATTCACCAATGAGGGGCCATGATGCAGTCAATTGCTTGAAGTAGTTTCCGACTATAGGAACAAGCAGGTCAATAAGCCCTCGAAGTGGCGATTCGTCGAGAAAGCCGAGGGCATTCAAAATGTTATCCACAATGTCCTTAAATTTAATCTTTCCTCGCTTGGACGGGAGAGTTTTCTTTGAATTGCGAGTAGACGTGGTGTTTATTTTTGGTAATCTCTTACGATTACCTTTATTAGGTAGCGGGGATCAGATGGAGCAGCAATTACCGATTTGTTCGGCTTTTTCAATGAATCCCCGCTACCTTCAGATTTTTGCATGCTTTTTAGAGTGGTTTTATTTTTTTTCCGGCGCACTCCCGGGGAGCTAGTCGGCTTCCTTTTGCCGGGGGCGTGTACCTCCGGAGACTCACTCTCATCTGCTATGTCAGAGTTCAGTTCATCGGAAGACAAAATCTCAAAAGTGTTTTCATTTTGAGCGGCTGAGCGGTTCCATTTTGCAACTTAACCATTTCTGCAAACGTCAGCTTGGAGCGTTCTTTTATTGAACGCTTCACATTGTTGGTACGCTTCTTGTACGCGGGGCAGTCCTGCAAAGCATGAAGAGGTTCTTTGCCACAGTAAGCACATTTAGTTGCTTCCTGTTGGCAAGCACCCTCCATGTGGCCTTGGCTACATTTGCCACAACGGGGCTTGTTGTCACAAAAAGCAGCTGTGTGTCCCAACTTTTTGCAGTTGGTACAATTATATACCCTTGGTACAAAAAGTCGCACCGGGAAAAAAACATTTTCAATTTCTAAAAACTTTGGGAGAACCGATCCAGCGAAAGACACCTGTAGTGAGCCTGAAGGGGAATAAGTCTTTTGACCATCTACCGTGGTCGCTGAATACAATATCCTGCAACCCAAAACGTCCACGGTAGATGTAGCAGCATTTTGAAGGCGCCCCATACCTTCCATGACGTCATCACACGTCAGGCTCACTGCAGAGACCACGCCGTCTATCTCCACATCTCGAGATGGGATGTAGACGTAATACTCTTCATTATAACCCTCGTCGTCAGCAATCTCATTTGCGACTTTATATGTGAGTGCAGTTATACGCAGTTTGTTCCGATTGACCTGATGAAATTCGGTCCCCGGGAAACGACGCGTCAACGTTCTTTTAATCCCTAAGAAGTTTAGGGCTTTCTCTTTCTGCCGAAAGTAGACAACCCAAGGCGAAGCAGAAGACGCCTGGTAATGACGCTTTCTTACTTTATCATTGGGAGGCTTGACGCCCCCCTGTCCTTCATCCATACGAAATTGAAAACTTTCGTTAAGAAGTAATTATTTTTTTATTAAAGAACCACCCTATGTGGAACGATTCCACTGGGGGAGAGACAGACGATTCACAAGCAAACAGTCAGAGGAATGGGTATACAAAAAAAACAGATACGTGCTACTATTTGCCCTTACCGTTTCTACTGCTTATACTGTTGCTGCTCTGCAACAATAGATGCCGGTCGTACACACCGTCCGTGCGGGGCTCACTGCTTTCTGCTGTTTATTGTTTCCAGTTGTACACACCGTCCGTGTGTTTTGCCGTATGCCGAATTTCGATATCGTCGAAGCGGGTTTTAAAGGTGGACAGTCCGACCGTAGGCTTCGCCAGGATCGGCTGCTTCCTCCAGAAATGCGCGAGTCACCTGAGGCACAAAAACTTTTTCCGGAAAATTAAGTTTCGCGGTGAAAAAAACACTTTCAAAGCTATGCCGTGTGACGAGACAACAGACCCTGATGTTGCTCATTCGCTAGCAGAACGAGGAATGGTCAGAAAAGTTAATCAACACTATAAGAAGATTAATCCGATTGCAAAAAAAAATCGCAAGTGAAAAAGAAAAAGAAAAAAATATTAAAACTTTTTCAGGAATAAAAAACAAAAGGTGTCAGAAAAGTTAATCAACGCTGTATGGAGATTAATCAGGTTGCGGAGAACGAAAGATAACCGTTTGTTACTTAGCTCTCCACACAAGCGCACGGAGTGTGGCTGATGACGATGAACTACTGATGTGAGGATGATGGTGATGATCGTTCTATTGTTGCCCTCGAGTGTTTGCAACAAAGCACCGGCTGGTGAACTCGAGGACCTTGATGTTACAGTGGCGTGATGCGGACTCGGCCGGAAATGACTGCTTCCTTTCTCGAACGGTTGTGCGGCAAATGCAATTCCGCGATGCTCACTACACTTTTGTATACTACAACACCACTCAGTATGAAAGCGGATTGAAAAAAAAACCTCAATAGGGGAAAAAACTAGTACTGATAACGGAGTGCAAGCTACACTAGACCAAAACAGTCGAACGTTCGATGCGGAATGAAAAATACACAAAACTTGTAAATACATAAATACGGAAAAACACTAAATACACCTTTTCAATTCGGGGAGATGAATCGAAAATACTCAAGTTGACAGCCCCTCGGTCAAGGATAAGCAAATAAGGTAGTGAAATTAAATGGAAATTACTTTTTTTTTTTTTCCTTTGGTTTGTTTTTTCCGTCGATCTTGTTTTCCGTGCTGAGCACCAATGCTACCGACGTGCCAGGAAGGCAGCTCCCGCACCTGGACCCTACCTATCGACCCATCAACTCATGAACCGGGGACCAACGGCTTTACTTCCCATCCGAAGGAAGGCGTGATCAGAGATGTTATGCCTCAGAACATCCCGACGGCGCCGACTGGGATTGAACCCAGGCCTGCTGGGGTGAGAGGTAATCACGCTTACAACTACACCACCGGCACCGGTAAATGGAAATTACTAATCCTCCTCTCTTTCTTTATACATATATTCTGCACATTCATCAGGATTCTGCTTCAATGTCTGCGCAGGTTCCAATTCAGCGTTTGCTTACAGATTTCGTAGACCCACCTTCACTTACTTTTTCGTATTCCTGTTGACAGGCATGGAAAATCATTTGCATTCATTAACATTCATTTGCCCCTAACTTTTTTCATCAACAGAATTCCGCAAAATGATGTATGGAGCTTTTTTAGGTTTTGTTAATAGCTACAACTTTTGTTTTTCAAATCCGTATCTCTTATGCATGACGAACCAGAGAGAACAGAAGCCACTACTGTTTTTCAGTGAATGTATGTTACATTCACTGAAAAACAGTAACAAGTTCTGCTCGCTCTAATCCGTGATGCATAAGAGATACAGATTTGAGGTATGAACAAAAGTTGTAGCTAATAACAATGCCTACTAAAGATCTATGCATCATTTTGCGGAATGCTGTTGATGAAAAAAGTTAGAGGCAAATGAATGTAAATGATTTTCCATGCCTGCCTGTTGATATCGGCTTCGGATGACAATTGGTTTGATTTCCAAAAAAAAAAAACTCGAAACGGCAACTCTAGCCTCCCTGATGTTCACGAGTGATGAGTGATGAGTGACGAATGCTGAACCGGGTGTCCACTGATCTCAACAACCTGCAACAAGGCTTTCTCTGGTAATCAAACTGGATCGAAGGTGTTCTCATAAATTACGCCTTTTTATTTCTTTGCATTCAACTTCATAATAATGTAATTTGTCATTGAATAGAGAAGGATGCCTCTACACTAGCGCTAAAATATTCTCTCGCGAAATAAATTATACTTATAGGTTGAAATATGGAGCGATTCAATTGCATTCATCGTGACACGAAAAACTATTATTCACACAATTACTACCCCGCACAGTACTGCCAACCAAGACCGGGAAAAAAAAGCGGAAGTGGAACCCAAACCGTAGGGACATAAAATGTTACACATGGACAGTCGATCAACTCACACAGATTACCTTAACTCAGTTCGAACCCGGCGCCACTCTGGATGGCGTAGAGCAACTTCTCCCGCAGGACATCCTCTTTCTCGAAGGCCGGCAGCTTCAGCAGATTCATGCAGGTGCTCGCCGATGGAAGACGATCGGTATCGCCGGCATTCTGTATGCAAAAGGGGGGATCTAGATCTTTAAAACCTAACAGCGGAGGGCGGGAACAGCTGGTGACAAATTTCAGCAACTGTCGCCGCTGGATGTCGTCGAATTCTTCCACCACCTTCCAGAACAGCTGAATCGTTTGATGTTCGAGCGTAAAGTCCCCTCCGTAGCGCGTGTTCTGTCGAAGGTCGTTCACATCGACCGGGATTTCCGCTCCGGAGGTCAGCACCTGCAGTTCCTTGTTGCTAAACATGTACAACCATTCGACGGGGAGCACGTTGGCCAGGCCCTGCCGGAAGGCCAGACACTGCGAACGGATCTGTTTGTTCAGCTTGAAGTCGGCCATGAGCTGGATGTACTCGAGCCGATTGGACGAGCTGACCGTGATGTTGGCACCGTTCGGTTTCAGCTCCTCTATCTGTGGCAGGATTGGACGGTCAGAGTGGGAAGGAGAAAGTGAGATTTGCGACTTACCCTAGTTTCACCTAGTTCATCACAGACTATCGTAAAATCTAATCCCAGATCCGAGACGTCCCCTTCGTAGGCCTTCAGCGACATCAGGTTCCTGTCGGGAAGAATATAAGTCAATGTTTAGCTAACCGTTCCGAACCGTTAGCAAGTCTACGCAAAAACTAACCTGTGCAACACTGGATCCAGGGACGTAAGCTGATGAATGTCCACGTCGGAGTGCTTTCCGGCTAGTTTCGATAGGAAAAATTCCGCCAGCGGTAGTTCTACGAGGAGATTTTCGTACAGTGCCTTCCCCAAAATTCGCCCGATAAAGTAATAATGTCGCTGGTAGTCTTCCACAATCTTGCCGACGCTCGGATTCGGATACAGCATGTTGTCCTTACTGATCCTGTGGGAGAAAAAAATGTTCGAATATTTCTCAAAAAAAAAGAGCCTTGTTCCGGAACTCACATGAAAAATCCCCGATGTGGATCGAATGCAGTTTTGATAAGCTCGGAAAGAAACTCTCGGAAAACTCCACCGCCGTCGATGCCGGCCTCCCGCATCCCAGCCGAATTGACCATTTCGATACGAAACTTCGGTCGGAGATCGGGTTCTGCAAAAAAATAAAAAATCCCCCTTCAAAATCAGTCTGTAGGATCACCCGACAACTCACCGTTAATCGGGCTCAGCTTGTCGAACGCATCCTCGTAGAGATGCGATCGCCGCACGGTCAGCTGAATGGACGGTCCCTGTAGGAAGCCTTGCAGGTCACCCTGCGTCCGGAGTTTGTCGGCCGACACTAGACCTTGAAAAACCCCGACGCGCGTGTTGAATGCCACCACGAAGGGAATCTCCCGCAGGATCGTAATCGAGCGGATCTGCTTCGTCGACAGCGGCGGTCCGTCCTCCACATCCTCTCGGGTGAAATCCCGAATCGGTTGAAAAGGCCGTGGACCTCGCCTGCCACGGGACAGATGCAAATCGGTGGGTTTGTCCAGTGGGAGATTGAGGTTCTGAGCCGTCCAGTGGCCTTCCGGGCAGAAAACTCTCCGCAAATCGCGGGTGTGAATCTGCCGCAGCAACGATACGCATACCTTCAGCAGATGGGGCCACACGTTTTTGCTTTGGTCGTTGGTGTCGCACTTGAGCCGATAGTGGGTGGTGGACTCGTTGTTCAACGACGTCAGCATCGTTCGGTAGCTGTCCTTGAGCGAGGAACGGGTTTCGGGGAATGCAAGCTCGACCAGCCCGAGGGAAATCTCCTTCAACGTCGTACTGAGTGGGATGATTTCGGCGAGGGTGAACGGCATGATTTTACTAACCGTGCCGGGAAGGACATTCTCCTGGCAGAATTCTGTGTCGCTGAGGGTTGCAATGAGACGCCCGAACAAGGCGCAAAACGATGCCAGAATCGGGACGATTCTGTCCGAGTCGTATTTGGCTGGAAATGGAAAGCAAACTTCATCAAAACATTCGATCTACCGCAGTTGAGTGCGCTTACAGATGGTCAATCCCTTGGACAGCAACGATATTGGTGACGAGAATCCTTGGCTGGCCGTCTGCGCCGTCAAGGTGTACCATAGCGAACGGATGAACTGCGGCTTCGATGCCAACATGTACAGCAGCTTGTACTCGTACACTGCCAGCCGATTGTACGTCATCAGATTGTGACAGATCAAGCACAGGTACTGCACAATATCCGGCTTTTCCAGCACTTCGTCTATGTACCGAACCACAAACGACACTCTCTTGTTATCGTTCAGCATGCCGATGATGTCCGTTAGGGTTTGGTTCTCTATGCTTGTCAACATGGGAACGTCTTCCGGCTCCGATTCGGAATCACTGGAATCATCGTGCCGGTTGTGGTAGCTTTCACTCGCTAGCCGCGGGAGCTTGGTGATATTGCTTACCATCGACGAGACAACCTTTACATAGGCTCCGTAAAGTTCTTCCGTGTTTAGTTTATCTAAAAATGGTAAATCGTTCGTAATGCACCTCCTCAATATACCGATTTCATCGATCCTACCAAATGCTGCATCGCCCAGCTTCATCACACAGTACAGCAGCGAACTGGACAGCACCAGCGTTTCCTTTTCCCGAGTCTTCCGGGCCTTTTTCGAAGCACCGGCAGAGCTCTCGCCGGCTGTCGTTGTCATCGTGGTCGTCGCCGCGCCGTCGTCCATTTCGTCATCGATATCGATCAGAATAGTGTTCTGATAGTCCAACCGAACTTGGTACTCTTCGGCAATGAACCGCATCAGGCAGATGTACGGAAAGTCACCACTCTTGGCCAGCGATGGTACGATGTAGTATTTGATCTGATCGGAAAATCCTGGCGACAGGATGTGGAACGTGAACGATTGCAGGATGTTCTTGTTGAACGCTTCGTTTGACGTGGGCAGCAGCTTCAACGGGCGGAGTAACATCTTAAGCAACGCATCGGCAATCGGGTTTGGAATCGCTGTTGTGTCCTCATCCACCGGGGGAATCTTCTCCTCTATCAACTGACGCACAATTTTGAAATACTTCTGTCTTATAAGGTAGCAGAAGATATTCTCCAGGTAGTTGCGGCTCACTTGTGGATTGTCCTTGGGGATGTACTTGTCGATGGAGGTGTGGGACGAGTAGATTTCCAGCATCCGCATTGGAATGGTCTGCAGAAGCAGAAATCAGAGTCAATATCTTGAAAATGTCAACCAGACTCCCCCTCCCACCCCACTTACCGGTGAATGTTCCGGAAGAAATATTTGCTGCAGGCATAGTCCCAACAGTTTCTTGATTCGATGTGTCCACATCGACTGCGACGCGGCCACTCCAAAAACCTCGCCAGGATTCTTAATCGCATACTGGCAGAGGAAAATCTAGAAAACCAAAACAAAACACCCCTCCTAAGGTCAATGCCATCACAATATTATCACTTCCTGCAAATCCCTGTACCCACACTAAATCAAAAATCGATTTTCCTGCATCATCTCAGTTTAATGACCTTCGATCAACTCTACCGTGAACGCGAATGGAACCTGTTGCCGCACAAATCCCACTCAACAACACTTACCAAGCGTTCGCCGTCCTGCTTGATGTGGTAGAAGAACTCGATCCGCCTGACCAGGTACTCCAGATCCTGCAAATTGCGCACCCCGCACGTCCTCCGATACTGGTCGAAGCGATCCCGTTCCCGTCGCTTTACAATCTGCCGCTGGATGAAACTGCGTACCGAGCTCTGAATTACCACGGCACCGTTCTGCTGCCGGCGAACATCCTCCCGCTTCTGGCGCTCCTGCTGCGCCTTCCGGATGATCGTGATGCGGTCCGACTTCTGCGATGCACCACCGAGATTTTGCTGCGGCCTTCGACGGAAGTCTCCGTCGAAATTGAACATTACTACGTACGGTCGACGCGCGTACACTTACGAACACTGTTTGCACGATATTGCGTAAAACCGATCCTCGTCCTATAATCTATTTCGTGTCAATGCAAATTTGGGAAGCAAATTTTTCTACCACGAAAAACACATTAACAATACCTTTGTGTTTTCTGCTGTGCTTCAAATGTAATCAGCTGTACAACTTTCATGACTTTTTTGACAACACTCTTTCCTCTCCGGCGGACGGATGACGGATGATGAAAATGACAGAGCAACAAATCGGTCATTCTCGATCATCAACAAATCGTCATCGAATGATGATGACGATGTTTTCCGCATGCAGAGCAGCATTGGGAATCCTTCGAACGATTTTTTTAGCGACTGGATTTCCTCTCACGGCCGATGAGAATAACTCAAAATTGAGTGGGTTTTCACAGGGGGCGAGACACATTGGCTGATTATATCTAAATCTCGATTACTTTTTCGAAGGGACGTATCAGCTTTTGTAAACAATGCATTTTATCGTTGGTTTGGCGTAACTGGTGGCTCACCGACGGATACTAACACCACTATAAGGTAGGGGGAAATTTCCCCTATCCGATGGTAGTGTTAGCATGCGTGGACGAGCTACCAATTACGTCAAATCGATGATCAAATGCATTGTTTACAAAAGCTGACACGTCCCTTCGAAAAAGTAATCGAGAAATGTTGTTTCGATATTTTAAATTTCTTGGCTTTAGACCAAATATTATAAATTAAGATTATGGTTCACACTTCTATTATTTCCACGACACTAGCGGCACTAGCGACACGAAAGGTGACTTGTACACTGTTTATTAAGCGTTTAGCAGTTAAAAGCTCAATATCAAAAAGGTTATCAAACATAACTCATAGTTTGGTGAAATTTTCTATCTGGGGAAAAATTTACCTAAACGCCTTTCTAATAGAAACTAAGCGATCGATTCAACCTCTGGTGATCAATAGGAGAACGCCATAAAGAGTGTTGTGAGCAGAAATTTCTGCCGTGAGACATAGGAAGCGGAACACTTTTTCACTTTTCCTGATAAATTGATTCATCAGAGATGCTCCAAAACTTGATCTACAGTTGAAAAATTTAATTCTCTCGGTTTTGCAAGGATGCTGCTGCACGGATAGAAATCTCCTTATACCTTTTGGCAAATTTCTATTGCTGATTATTCATAAAATGTATAAGCAAAGATGAATACTAAGATGAAACTGTCGGAAGAAAAACTTTCAATTTTAGTGTCCTCTTGCACGGTCCCTTTCATCAATGAATACCCCCAGTATGCAAGGTAATTTAGTGGTTTAGCTGCCCCCTCGGCAGAGATGAAATTTTGCGCGCTTTTTTATCAAAACAATCACACCAAAATCAGAGATGTCCCATTTTTTAATTACTCGATTAACAACTAATCGAATATTTTTTGTTCGCTGTCCTGTCATTTTTTCCACCAATGAGAGTGCAAAACTTATTTGAAACTGTGGTAGACGACACTTACTGTATACCACACTATTATATCAACTGGGACAAACCCCCTATATCTCTATAGTAGTATATAGTCAATGGCTATACCTGTCACTAACACTATCACATGGGAGAGGGGATCGATGGTTGCTCGTCACACAGGATTAGGCTTCCCGCGACCTCTGAGCTACCTAAGTTATCACAAACCGTGGCGACGAGTAAAAAGTTCCGAAAAATAAAAATAGTGGTTTTGGCAAGGTTTTGGTTATTCCGGTTGCTTGTTTTAAGGTAAGAAAAGAGAAAATAGTGTCGGAAAAGAATAAAAATATTTGAAAACAGCGAAAAAAAATCAAAGAGAACGCGTTGGATAAAATCAAGCCAATAGACGCCATTTTGTTTTGATCTCTTCCGAATCTAAAAAAAAAAAAGAAATGAATGAAAATTAGGTGGTCTGTTTTAGAACGAGGAGGCAAGCAACGCTGAAATGGTGATACCGAAGAAAAATGTGTGTGTGTGTGTGTGTGTGTGTGTGTGTGTGTGTGTATGTGGATAGAGAAAGAAATGGCAAGAGCTGAACTTCCAGTTTTCATAGCGTGTTGACTCGGTTGACTCATACCTACCTCGATTCTTACTTTCGTGTGCGTGAGTTGAAAAAAAAAAATCGAGGAATATTGGAAGACGCCATTTTGTTTTATTATTCCAGTAGCTGAGGAAAAATAACCGGTTGGTTTGTATACCTGTAAGTATGCAGTGCATTTTAGTTCTAATTGGAAATTGTGATAAGGGTGGTTAGAGCATGAGATTCAAGCTGGGAAAATGAAATGGCTTAATGACCTTGAAATGATGGAATGTATTCATGCATATGAAAAGAAGAGAAACTAGAAGAGCTAAACCGATTTAATTACGGGTGAATGATAATGGAATTGATATGGTTGAAATAGAGATGCCGATTAAATTACGGGTAGAGAGTGAATATTGCCGATTTGATTACGGTTGGAGAGTGAATCTCGGAGTGAATACAGCCGATTTGATTATGGTTTGAAGAAATGATTGCCGATTCAATTACGGTTGATATAAAATGAGGTACCAAAGATTGTTAGTTGTATGGATTTCCGATTCAATTACGGTTGCAGAAGGAATAGAAAACATTTCCGATTGAATTACGGCTGACAAATATTAATAATGGGGAAAATGTTTACCGATTGAATTACGGATAGGAATGTTTATATATATATTTTTTTTAATTGCATGTGTAATGTGAAGATCATCGACGGAAATTAATTCGGACGATCATGGAAGGTGATGAAGAAAATGGTGCCAGTCATCAGGTTATAAATCAGAACCTACAGTTCTCGATGAACATTTCAAATGGTCCTATCTGCTTTGATCGATTCTCTTCATCGACTTTCTCTTTTCATACCCACTGCTATACAAACAGATTTTGCGCTAATTCTACCACATAGTTTGATAAAGGAGGTTCTTATCTAGCGTCCAAAACGTCAAATACAACAGGGAAAGGTTTTGCGGCTGAGTTATTAACGAAAGAGAAAGTCGATGAAGAGAATCGATCTAAGCAGATAGGACCATTTGAAATGTTCATCGAGAGTTCTTCAACCCGGCATCGTACAACCTACCACACTTTAAATACAAACACCTGCCAGCGTCAGAAGTTCGCAATGCCTGGACCATGTGGATCAGATGGTTTGAAAGTGTTATGGCTGCTTCGAACGTATATGAGAGTTCCACACGAAAAATGCAACTTCTGGCAATGGGTGGAATGGAACTGCAAAGCGCGTATTTTGGATTACCCGGTATCGACGATGATTCTGCTGATCCCGATGCAGATCCTTATGAAACTGCTAAAATCAAACTTAGTCAACATTTTTCTCCTAAGCACCACGACAGTTTTGATCGGTTTTTGTTTTGGTCTTTGGCTCCAGAAGAAGGTGAATCAATTGAAAAGTTCGCTTTGCGAGTACAACAAAAGGCAGAGAAAATATGCTTTGGCAAGACCGAAACTGAAAGCCGACACATCGCGATTATCGACAAGATTATACAGTACACTTCCGACGACCTTAGGCAGAAATTGCTAGAGAAGGAAACGCTGACGCTGGACGACACCACCAAAATTGTGAATGCATACCAGTCTGTACGTTACCAGTCAGCTAGGATGACCAACAAAGGAATCGAGAGCTCCGTTAACCGTATCAACCAATCTGAAAGAAGATCACGATGTCAACGCTGTGGATTCAACCTACATCGGCAAGGAGAACGTGTCTTCGTTGTGGAAAAGTAGGTCACTTCCGTATGGTTTGTCATTCGAACTCGAACCCTAGTTCAACCCATTCTTCAGATTCGGTAAGTAAATTTAATGAATAATTCTTACCCATTGTTGATCGATTGCATTTAAATGTTGAATGTTTAGGGTGTGGTGGACAGAAAGCGAAAGCAAAATTTTATGGCAAATGAACCCTCTCACCTGTTCAAACGCCCCAGACGTGTCTTCCACGTCAACGAAGATCAAGACGTTGGTAGAGAAAAACAAGAAAACCTATCTGTTTACAACGTAGGGGATAATGATGACGAGTTAATTAGATGTGATATTGGGGGTGTTGAAATCGTCATGTTGATCGATTCTGGCTCTAAGGCTGTGGTCCATTTGGTGAATTTTCACTTAAATTTGACACTTCGAAACTAAATTATAATGTTCGAAAATCCCTCTGTTGTTGATCGGCCAATTTTCGAGAAGGTGTGTGTCAAAATTGATTCCTTGTCTGTCAGATATAAGTCTGCTGGAATAGCAGGTTAATTTGGAAATTTTCCATCTGTCAAGTTTAAGTGAAAATTCGCCAAATGGAACACAGCCTAAGTATAATCTTATTGATGACACAACGTGGGAGTTGATGAAGATGAGAGATGTGAGGATAATTAATAAGAGAACTGACAATGACAAACGCTTCCTGGCGTATGGACGGATTCCTTTGAAACTTGTAACCGCCTTTGATGCAGAATTACAAATTGCCGATGGCGATCATGTACTGATTTCTCATGAAAATACGAGAGCTTCTGAGTGCTTTATCTTTAAGATCTTTTGTCATCACCTTTGCATGGGTCCCATCTCATTGCTCGATTCCGGGCAATGAGAAGGCGGACTCACTTGCTAAGGTGGGCGCTATGCAAGGCGATATTTACGATCGACAAATCGCCTACAATGAATTTTTCTTCATTTATCGTCAACAGTCGCTCGCCAGCTGGCAAAATAAATGGAGTGAAGGAAGTTTGGGACGATGGCTATTCTCGATCATCCCTAAGGTGTCGAAGAGTCCTTGGTTCAAGGGGTTGGATGTGGGTCGAGACTTCATTCGTCTGATGTCTCGCCTCATGTCCAATCACTATTCGTTAAACGCTCACTTGTTTCGTGTTGGGCTGGGAGACAGCAATCTCTGTGAATGTGGACAAGGTTACCAAGACGCCGATCACATCCTTTGGTCTTGTGCTGAGCATCGTGGAGTCAGATCTGAGCTATGCGATTCCCTTCGGGCTCGAGGTAGACAACCTAATGTTCCAGTTCGGGATATTTTGGCTAGACGTGATCTGGAGTTTATGAAACTCATATATGTTTACTTTAAGAACACTAACCTTAGATTGTAAGTTTGATTAACCTTGTGTTTAGTTTGTGTATTGTGCGTGTAGTTTTTTTTTATGTTTGTCTTCAAGATGAAT